GTGCACAGTGGGGTCTTGATACACACTCACTGAATGACTGACTGAATGAATGAAACTTTGACTTTTCAGAAGATTTAACAATAGGATTGGGCTTCCCAGGTGGTGCTAGTAGTAAAGAATTCGTCTGCCAACGCAGGAGATGCAAGAGACTCAGGTTCAATCCCAGGGTCGGGAAGATTCTCTGTAGTAGGAAACAGTACCCCACACCAGATTTCTTCCCAGGAGAATTTCATGGGCAGAAGAGCCTGGTGGACTACAGTCCACGAGGCCGCTGAGAGTCGGACATGACTGAGCCAACACACACACAACAATAGGATTAAGTCCATCAGGAGAAAAAAAATCAGACAATCTGAATTTGGAGAAAAATCTCAAAATAAGAATTAAATAAATATAACCTCATAATTTCTTAGATATCTCATATTAGAAATGTACCTAAGAGAAGCCTGCAAAGCCCACAACAAAGCCTCTGTGACAGTCACTGGTATGTGCTCAGTATTTAATCAGGCTATGCTCCAGGAGCTCATTTTGCTTAGCACTTCTGGCTCCCTGGGCATGAGGCAGGGGTGAAGCCTTGACCTTGGCCAGTCCCCCTGCAGGAGTGGCAACAGGCCCAGAGGCACTTTCATACACCATAGGGATGGAAAGAACCCAAGAAATCATTTTGCCAATAGCTCTGCCATCAGGAAGCAATTCGTATGAACAATTCCAAACTGTAGAGTCCACCTATTTTTCTAAGTTCTCCTCATATAGAAATTTCTCTCTAAATGTGAGACTTCAGCTAAGTTAGTCAACCCCCTTGCATATCAGCTTCCTCATCTCTCAAATATTAACATAAAAATGCGAACTGTCTTATGTGACTGCTGTGAAGACTGAGGAATACAGGGTGCAGTACATGACACAGTGCTGGTATACACACTGTAATTCTTGACAGAGCTGTCTTCACTTTACTCTTCTATTTGCAAATAAATAGGTCTGAGCACTTCATCTCTGAGCACTGGCCTGGACTCTAAGTCTGATTAGTTCTAAGTCAATAAATGATCTACTATTCCCCAAACTCCTTAATATTGGGAGATCCACTTAACCACCCCTTGAAAGTTCATAGATACATAAGGTTCCAGTTACGCAGTACAGATACAGAGATGCACCGTCTAACTGTACGTGAGGAACTGTCCCAGGCCTTCTCAGGATATATGAGTGTTACAATAAAAAATCAGAAATGCCCAAGTAAACAAAATAGTTCAGTCTAACAGGCTGGAACCTAGCTCGTCTGAGGGCAAAGGCAGCAGGCAGTAAATGTGATGTGATGGAAAGAGTGGCAGACTCGAGTTAAGAAACTAATGTTCAAGTGCTAGTCTGTTACGCGTAATTGGGTAAGCAAGCTATTCCACCTCTCCCAGCTTCAGTTTCCTCTTCATAAAACAGGAGCACGGAAGCAACCTAAATGCCCATCAAGAAAGCAATGGATAAAGATAAGGTACATATGTACAATGGAATATTACTCAGCCATTAAAATGAACGAAACAATGTCATCTGCAGGAACATGGATGGACCTAGAAATTGTCATGCTGAATGAAGTCAGTCAGACAGAGGAGGAAAAAAATTGTATGATATCCCTTATATGGGGAATCTAAATAGAAATGATACAAATAATCTTATTTATAAAACAGAAACAGACACAGATTTAGAGAACAAACTTATGGTTGACAGAGGGGAAGATTCCAAGGTGGAGATAGTCAGAGAATTTGGGATGGACATATATATACCGCTGTACCTAAAGTGGAAAATTAACAAGGACCTACTGTATAGCACACAGAATTCTGCTCAATGTTATGCAGCAGACTGGATGGGAGGGGAGTTTGGGGGAGAATAGATTCATGTACATGTATGGCTGAGTCCCTTTGCTGTTCACCTGAACAATCTCGACATTGTTAACTGGCTACACACCAATACAGAATAAAAAGTTTAAAAAAAAAACCAGGAGTATGTACCAGATCAACTCTAATATTCCTTTTGAGCTCTAAGACAATGATTTTAGGGAAGGATAAAATCCAAGAGGACAGATGGTGGGGTCAAAATGGATATAAAGGCAGGAGGCGGGAGATGGGGGTGGGAGAGTGGATAAGAACTAAAAATGTAAATGTGAAGGGAAAACTATAGGTTAATAAGAGAAAGGATTGGGACTTCCTGGTGGCCCTGTGGCTAAGACTCAGAGCTCCCAATGCAGTGGGCCAGGGTTCGATCCCTGGTCAGCAAACAGAACCCACATGCTACAACTAAAGACCCTGCATGCTGCAACAAAGGCCTGGCACAGCCAAATAGAATAAATGTATCAGTATTTTTTTTAAAAAAGAGAGAGAAAAGATTAAGTCAAATACTAAGTCAAGGCTTCTAAGGTACCTCAGTGGTAAAGAATCCGGTAAAGAATCTGCCTGCCATGGTTCCATGACTTACCAGCCATGGACTCTCAGGCAAGCGACCTAATCTCAGTGTACTTCAGTATCTTCTGTAAAACAGACAAAAAACCAGAACCTACTGCCTAGGAATATTGTAAAGATCAAATGAGCCACCACACGGAAAGCCCTTTGAACAGGGCCTGGCAACTGGGAAGTACTAAATAGTCAGCTTAGTTATTTTCTGCTACGGAGTGGGGTGTCCACATGACTCACCACAGAGTCACTTCATCCACCCTATGAAGAGGATTTAGGGGCAGGGTTTCCTACCCAAGGCTGAAACCTAGAAAAACACAACCCCACGTCTGTTGCCTTCTGTTCCCTGGGCAGAGTCAAGAGGGCAAAACGCCGGCAGCCGGGAGGAACCTAGCAGCACCAGTGTGGCGCCTCCGGGGTGTCACCGCTGCCCTGGCAAGGAGCGTCAGGTGGCCCTCGGGGGCACTAGGCCAGCCCTCAGGGAAACGGTGCGCCGGAGGGCTTTCCTCTGGGGAGCCACACTCACTCTACATTCTCCCTCGACATTTACTAAAGGTACTGCTAAGCAGTCCTAACTGAAAGGCCGCTGCTTTTTGGTACATGACAACAGGAATGATAATTTACCTTTTTTGCTTTTCTGGCCCTCTTCCAGGACCAGCAGTTTGCACTTCTTTTTTTTGGGGGGGGGCCTCACAGGATGTGGGATCTTAGTTCCCTGGTCAGGGATCAAACCCATGTCCTCTGCAATGGAAGCGCTGAGTCTTCACCACTGGACCCACCAGGACATCCCTGCACTTCTGTTACCTAATTCTCCCCAACATGTTTCCATTCACCCCTTATTTCATTATGCATTCTTAAGCTTCCCTCCAAATGCTATGCAAAATGCTGTTAGATGTCTACAGCTTCCCAGAAATATGAGACGTAGGAAAATAGGGTAACAAATCTCAATTTACAAGTAAAAGCAGTTCTGTAGTAGAATCAACAACATTAAAGACCTAAAACCACACCCTTCTCTCTTTACAAGTGCACTCTAAGGACTCATTTTATTTCAATATGCAAGGCAAAATATTCACTTGGAGTGGCCAAACAACCTGGCTTGTTGAACCTAGCTTGTTGACAAGACACTGATGTTTCTTCAATTTTTAAACTCTGATACACAGAATGAGCAATCACTGTCCACTGACTATGTTTTCTTAACTCAAGAGTCTGTGGAGATGTAGTTTATAAAACGGGGAGAAAGAAAATAAATGCTGTGAACTTGGTCCTAAAAACTGCGGACTTTCCTCCCATGTGCCACAGAGCAGAAGGTAGGCTGGGAGGGGAAGACAGGACAGGGGCTGATGCATCTGAGGAAGCAGAGCAGGCTGGCCTCACTGACCAGTTTCTCTGGCTTTTTCCCCACGTGCTCTGGACCTCCCTGATAAAGAGCTGGAGCTCTGTTGATGACATTTCAAAAATAACCTTCCCAATAAACATAAGAAAGCTATATCTGGAATTTAAAAGTCTAAATATATGAGTTGATTAAATAAAAAAAGAGAAAAAGACTTACGAGGTGGGGTTTTTGTTTTACAATGTTCCCTTCCTCTGATTTTGATATAATTCTGGAAACTTCTTCAGGATTTCCCCAAGTATACAAAAATAACTTTCAAAGGAGACTCAAACCAAGTGATGATTTTTATGACTGATTAGGTCTTGGCTTAAAGAGTAGCACTATGATTATAAAGCTTGGTTTCAACTACTAACTTTTTTTTGGAAAACAACATTGAAGAGAAGACCAACAGTTATGTTGAAGCCTAAGGTTTTAGAACCTGGTTATACAAAAAGTTCTATAATCCATTTGTGGTGTTAATGTACATATTCTTTCATACAGGCGAGTAAGATAAACAGATAGATGACTAAAATAAAATCCCCAAATAATATCCCTCTCTTCTTTCTCAAAAAGTAAATTTCAAGTCTTACTGCATCACACTATTTTCAAAAAAGCAACTCCTCAAATGGTCTATTGGACCAGGAATTTCTGTGCTACCATAGCATTGTTACTAAATTAAAGTGTTTCTTAAATTCAACTTTTGGCAAAGTTGTATACTTATGAGCACTATGTAAGTGAATTGTGAAACAGAAAATATTTAACTGAAAGAGAGGGATACACCTAGACAAAAACCTAGCCCAACAGGCTAAGGGCTATTAAGGGGTTGGACTCAGATGCTTTTAACAAAGCAATAGCTACTTATTAAAATATCTATTATGGATAGGGATCATAGGAGAGAAAATGGTAAAAATACATTCAAATCCTTCCTATGAGGAAAAACTCTCATCCCCAACATGTGTGTTAAGAATCAGGGGGCTTGAATTTGACAACACCAAATGTGTTTCTCTGACAAGTTTCTTCATCCTCTGAGCCTCAGTTTCTCAATCTGCAAAATGGGGTAATAAAACCCATTCCCACAGAGTTTTACTGAGGATGGAATTAAATGAGACAATAAGGGAAAGTGTCTCTCATTAGATGTGACCTTCTTTCTCATGATATACTGCCAAGAAAGCTGTATCTAGTAAGTAGTAAATGTAGTGTTCTACCTGGAAAGGGTCTGTCTTCATTACCCCCATGCAGAGGAACTCCCTTATTTTCTGGCATATACTTCTTGGTAATGGGCAAAGACATCAGCCGGATGTGATGGATGAGTGAGCGCCAAGTGTAAGCTCCGGAAAGCACTGGTTCAGGTGGTAACGGGCTGAAAGGTTGAATCACAAAGTAGGCAGTGAGCAAGATTAATCCCAGGGTTATGAAGACCTACAAGGAAAGACAGGAAACGGATTAATAATGGTCCCAGCAAATGAAATACTTTAATGCCAAGGAAAAAAAAAGTAACAGGCATTTTCTACTATGTCCAGTGTGTTTTAAGAACTAATCCTTTTTCATAAACAAGTCATTGACATTCACTTCCAAAAGGATTTAAAGCTTGACAACTGTGAGGACTGCAAGGCTCACCAAGTTTTTATCACATGGATCAGGGGCCATGTTCACCATTTAAAAATATATACAAATACAGCTAACCATAAGTACGCAGCTTTCATCTACAACATTTAACAAAAGAGTCAAGTTTCCTAATCATATATGGTAATAAAGAGTAAAGGTCAATTAACTCATAGAAAAACCAAGGTTCAGTGGTGGAATCAGTCAGCAGCAATATCTGGGGAGAACGCTGATGAGTCTGTGCTCCGTCTAAGCTATTTCCAAGTCTTTACCTTGTACACAGCTAGAAGGAGGGGGTACTGGGGTGGCCTCCTCTGAGGTTCATTCTTCTCCAGCAGCTGTCTGATAAATTTTTCAATGGCCTTCTCTGACATGCCACACTGATGGCCCGTCTGTCTTACCAAATCAACAGTCTCTGAGAGTTTGTCATAAATGCTGAGCTCATTAGCGGCAAGATCCATGACTTCCAATGCAGGGTCTCTGAGAGAGAGAGAGAGAAAATAAATGTAAAAAGGTGGTTTCTTTGAAGTACTTCCTTCTCAAAGTTACATCCTTTAGAACAGTACTTCTTGGCCACCTGTGGGGAGGGACCAGTTCTGTGTTTTTCCCAATCCACTGCTGACCAATTCTTTTGTAAAACATAATGAATATGTTGAGATAATGCCAAGATGTGATACAAATTTTTAAGTGTTTCTTAATTGTGGGCTGTATATTGTCACCCTGCTTATTTAACTTATGTGCAGAGTACATCATGAGAAACACTGGGCTGGAAGAAGCACAAGCTGGAATCAAGATTGACAGGAGAAATATCAATTAACTCAGATATGCAGATGACACCACCCTTATGGCAGAAAGTGAAGAGGAACTAAAAAGCCTCGTGATGAAAGTGAGAGAGTGAAAAAGTTGGCTTAAAGCTCAACATTCAGAAAACTAAGATCATGGCATCTGGTCCCATCACTTCATGGGAAATAGATGGGGAAACAGTGGAAACAGTATCAGACTTTGTTTTGGGCTCCAAAATCACTGCAGATGGTGACTGCAGCCATGAAATTAAAAGATGCTTACTCCTTGTAAGGAAAGTTATGACCAACCTAGATAGCATATTAAAAAGCAAAGACATCACTTTGCCAACAAAGGTCCGTCTAGTCAAGGCTATGGTTTTTCCAGTGGTCATGTATGGATGTGAGAGTTGGACTGTGAAGAAAGCTGAGTGCTGAAAAATTGATGCTTTTGAACTGTGGTGTTGGCAAAGACTCTTGAGAGTCCCTTGGACTGCAAGGAGATCAACCAGTCCATCCTAAAGGAGATCAGTCCTGGGTGTTCATTGGAAGGACTGATGTTGAAGCTGAAACTCCAATACTTTGGTCACCTCATGTAAAGAGCTGACTCATTGGAGAAGACCCTGATGCTGGGAGGGATTGGGGGCAGGAGGAGAAGGGGACGACAAAGGATGAGATGGCTGGATGGCATCACCAACTCGATGGACATGAGTTTGAGTAAACTCCGGGAGTTGGTGATGGACATGGAGGCCTGGCGTGCTGCGGTTCATGGGGTCACAAAGAGTCAGACACGACTGAGCGACTGAACTGAAATGAACTGAATTGTGGGCTAGTGACAAAAGTGGTTTACAGACCAGCATTGGTTCCCAAACACTTTGAGGAATACCAGTTCAGAGCACAAAAATAAAACCTTAATGGGACTTTGAATACTAGTGCCCATCCAAAATGATTTTTTTAAAATAAATATTTATTTGTCTGTGTTGGGTCTTAGTTGTGACACTTGGGATCTATGTCGTGGCATGAGGGATCTGTTAGTTGAGGCATATGGGATCTAGATACCTGACCAGGGATCAAACCTGGGCCCCCCACTTTGGGAGTGAGGAGTCTTACCTACTGGACCACCTGGGAAGTCTCCCAAATGATTTCTGAAACCAATCACAGGAGATCTGCTACAGGTAATTTACAAAAATAAAAAGAAACAGACTATGGAAAGTGTTATTGATCAATTATTTCCTTCGTTTCACATCAAATGAACCTTTTAGCAACATGAGAGGAGGAACTGACCACTGAAGGCAAGATTTACTGAGGAACCTGCTGATAACCACGGCATGGGAGTGCTTCACACTCGGCAGGTTGCAGTCCTCATGCTTTTCGGCAAACAGAATTTTAGACAACAAAGGGCATTTCGTTTGTATTTTACATGTTTTAAAAACCTAAGATCTATATAACTCATTTTAAAATTCAATTTGTATTCGCACAGTTATTTTAAAGTCAGGCCGTTTCACAATGGCCATACAATAAAAGGCAAAAACTAAAGGCAACATAGAATTCTCCCTGGATCACCTGTAAAACAAAATAAAGCACTTCTCTTTAAAAAGCGCTTGGGCTACAGAACAGTGTTTTTCTTCATTTATAGGAGGGAAAACAGCACTTGGGATCTATGCTGTCTTCTGCTGGTTGGGAGTTTTGTTGTTGTTGTTTTCATGACGCAGAGGGTCCTCTTATTTCACTTTAGAATTTCATCCCTAAGGTGTTTCTAACATGGAAAAGCACTAACACGGAACAACTATCCCTTCGGTGAGGAGATGCCGCCCTCTGTAGAGCAGAAGACCACAGCCAGGAGGCTCCAGTAGAGGTGGCGGCCTGCGCTGCCACGGGCCAGCACACATCCTGGTTAAGCTCCGCCGCCAGCAGCGCGGCTAGTCCTTAACTGCCTGCACAGTGGATCACCTAGAGAGCTTCTCAGGGATGCTCACACCTGGGCCCCAACCCAAGGCCGACTAAATCAGAGTCAGACTTCGAATGATGGATTAACAAACAGGTAACCTAGATTTTGAGGACTGGAGTGGGGAGAAACCCCACACATTTTAAAGGACACAATCTTTCTCCAAACTCTCTGCGGTTGCTCAAAGGGTTTTTTTTAAAGACCACATAGGGCTTAATTTTAAGGTTCACGTGAAAGGGTGGTGAAAGTCTATTGTTTTAAAGTGTGTATTTTCGGGAATTCCCTGGTAGTCCAGTGGTTAGGACTTGGCTCCTTCGCTGCCAGGGGCTGGGGTTCAATCCCTGGTTGGGGGACTAAGATTCCATAATCTGTATGGCATGGCCAAAAAAAACAGTAACATAAAATAAAATGGATATTTTCAACAAATGGTGCTGGAACAACTACATATCCACATGCCAAAGAACGAAGTTGGACGCTTCCTTATACTACAGATAAAAATTAATTCAGAATGAATAAAAGACCTAAAACTAGAAAACAAAGGGGGAAATCTTTATAACACTGGATTAGGCAATGGCTTCTTAGACAGGATGCCAAAAGCACAAACAGCGAAAGAAAATTAAATTGGACTACATCAAAATTAACAACTGTTGTGCTGCCAACGATACCACCGAGAAAGCAAAACGACAACCTACAGAATAGGGGGGTGACATTTGCAAATTACATATCTGATAAGGGACTAGCAGTCAGAGTTCATAAAGAATTCTTACAACTCAATTATAAAAAGATAAATACCCAATTAAAAATGAGCAAAATATTTGAAAAGATATTTCTCCGCAGAGGATATACAAATGGCCAAGAAACTCATGAAAAAATGTTTAACCTCATTAGCCATCAAGGAAGTGTAAATCAAAACCCCAGTGAGACACCACCTCTCATCCACTGGGATGGCTATAATCAAAAAGTCAGAGAATAACAAGTGCTGGCAGTGGAACTCTTGTACACTGAGAGTGGGAATGTAAAATGATGCAGCAGCTTTGGAAAAGTTTGGTAGTTCCTCAAAAACTCAAATACAGAGCTACCATATGAGCCAGCAACTCCACTTTTAAGTATGTACCCATGACAATTTAAAACAAATATCCACACGAAAACTTATTTAAGCCACAGTATTCATAAGAGCTCAAAAATGAAAGCAATCCAAATATCCAGGAAAGGATAACAAAACAGATTTCAATAATATTCATACATCATGGAATGTTCATGGAATTCATGGAATATTACTGAACAATAAAAAGGAATAAAATACTGATACATGCTACAACATGGATGAACCTTGAAAACATTATGCTAAGTGAAAGAATATAATTACATGACTGAATTTATATGAAAAGTCAAGGACAGGCAAATCTATAGAGACAGAAATTATTTATTAGAGGTTGCCTAGGGGAGGGGGTGGGGAGGAATGGGGAGTGACTGTTAATAGATACAAAGCTACTTCCCGGAGTGACAAAAATGTTCAAAACAAATTATGATTGTTGCGCAACTCTGTGAATAAACAAAACCCACTGAACTGTATATTTTAAATAGGTGAATTTCACGGCATACATAAATTATATATATATATATCTCAGTAAAGATATTTTAAATGTATATTTATAGAATTTGAACTTACCACTGTTATGGCATTTATTATACTCACTGCTATGATTTGGCTAAGTCACTTGGCCTATTTCCTCATCCAAAAGACATGAGGACTGAACCAGAATGTTTTTAAAAGTTTCCCCTATAAAAATAAATAAATAAATAAAAAATTAAAAGTTTCCTGTAGCTCTAAAATTCTAGGAGTGTATGACTATTTCAGGAAGTGCAAAATGATAATATGATACTGAATACATACACTTCTTGCAAGCTGTACATCCTTCTTCCCTGAGATTCTGACACATTTCCCGAGTTACCAGAAGGACTGTTACCGATCTAATGAAGTTTCTACAAGCACATGGGGGGTCTTGGTAATAAGCCTTCCTTTTGCCTTTGGTAAAATTAGTGGTTTTCAACTAGGGGCAACTCTCTTCCCCCTCCCCCCAGGGGTATGTGGAAAGTTCGGAGACATTTGTGATTGTCACACTTCAGGGGTACTACTGGCATCTAGCGGATATGATGTTAAACAACAACAAAAAATCTTGTCCCTTTAGGTCAGACTAGCAGAGCAGCTCCCTTGCTGGGATCTCTTCAAAGTCAACCCTCAACACAAGGGTTTGTATTAAAAAAACAAAAACAAAGAACTTGTCCCTTAAAAAACAAAATCAAACACAAAGTCAGGGTTAAGCATCAAGTATATTCATCTAGACTGAGTGAAATCAGCTGAAGCTTGATGGCAATCCCTTTCTCTCTAGTAAGAAGGTCCAACCCTGGCAGAAATGAGCTTTGCCACAGAGAGAAGTTTCTACGAGTGAGCTTGACTCTTAACAGTGGCTTATACCTGCAAGGGCATAGGCAGAGTGACCTGCAGAGTTAAAAAAATCAAGGTATCATGCAACACGCTTTATACACTGAAATGCCAGAAGCCTGGGAGTGGGACCCACGTGTGGAAGTTTTGAAATCTCTTTCCTGCTGATCACAGGCAGACCCCCAATCAGGAGACACTGCTGTGGAACAGTACTTCTCAAGCAGGGTGATTCTGCTCCCCAGGGGATGTCTGGAGACCTTTTTGACTGTTAAAACTGGAGGGGTACTCAACCTT